AGCCGGCTTAGCTGGCTAAGCCAGCCGATATAAAAGAGTCAGCTGGCTAATGCGGCTAAAGATCATATGATTATAAGCAGTTAAAATTCTGATACCCTAAGTTCCAAAAATAGATAAACATAAAATATGAGAAAGGTTCCGTAAGGAAAGCTGTTAGCCAGCCGTTTAGCCGATAATTTGGTCAGCTGGCTTAGCCAGCCGATTAAAACCATTCGGCTTACAACACTACTTAGATCGAAGGATCAGGTGTAACGTGAAAATCACGTCATTTTAAAAAATCGCTATTACTCGAAATTTGACCTATGAAACTGCCTTCTGCGTTCTAATAAAAAAAAATTCCTCGTGAAATTTTAGTATAAGCTATAATCTTCCTTATCCTTAATCCTAATTCTAAACATGAAGTTTATTACTTTAAAATCTTTCGCTTAATTCGATTGTTTTGATTTTACGTTGCACCTGATCCTTCGATCTAATTAGCAAAAATCACGTGGCGGAAAAAATCTTGTGGGTGAGCTACTATTAATATCTCTAGTTCTATTGTTTTTTTATTGCTGCCAACACTGATCTGATTGGAGCATTTTCATGGTTCTACTTGGATAGCTACTAAGTTACAACTGTGTATCTGAATTAAACAATCCTCTTATTATTAGCAGAATTTTTTACTAATATTACTTTTTTGTTTATTACTCATATTATTATTAGTGTTTTTTATATCATTCTATACACCAAACATTTTACAAACATTATTTATCCTAATAAAATGGCCAATTAATTTTTACTTTGTTAAAACATGCATAATTATATTAATTCTATCCTTAACAAGAAATGTATCTTATTATACTAATGAAGATACTAACAAGAACAAAGAGAAAACTGAAAAAAATGAGATAGTTTATAACCATTTTTTGCCTACATCAATAGCAATTATGCAATATTTTTTGTGTAATATGCATGATAGGATCAAAGATGAAATTAAAAAAAAACAAATAAAAACAAAAAGAACAAATAGAGTTGAAGAATGATGAAAATGTTTAATTTAAAACAAAATAGTTTTATTATTAAATATAGGTAATATTATTACTTTTAGTATATTATATTTTATAAAATAAATTAAAAACTTATTAATAATATTAAATCTAATAAATATTATTTTAAACTATATTATTAGAAATATATATTATAATATTAAATTTTAAAAATAAATTTATTATATATTTATTAATAAAAATATTATTATAGTATTATAGTACTATACTGTTACTTTATTTTTTTTTTAATATTAATAGTGAGACCATGCTTTTATCTTTATTAAATATTTAATTGAAATTTTATATAAAGTACAATTCTGTTTTTAAAATATTATAAAAAAAATAAAAGTTCAAACTAATTTATCTGCAACCTAAATCAATTAGAGTGATCAAGACTCATCTAGATTTGAGTATTAGTAATTATTAATTTGATATTTAATTTATTGGATATATCAGAAGTTTATTTTTGATCTAATAAAATTGAATAGAAGAGAATGTGATAAAAGTGAAGCAGTATTTGAAAGTGTGTTATATTCAGGAGTTTGAACTATAAATCTTGAGATACAATATAGAATTCAAATTTTATAATAGATTTTTTGGTTAAGATAAAGCAAAAACTTGATAACAAGTGTTATGGTTACTTTTTGAAATAACAGACTTGTAATAATATTAATAAGTTCATTTAGTATTAGACCCATTAGAGTTTAAAAAATTGAAAATAAATCTGATATACTGTAAATAGTTATACTATTCAACAGTTTAATTTAATTATGTAAATTGATTATAATATTTGAAATAGTGTCAAGTGTTTTAGTATTTAAAGTATGTTGTAATAAAATGCTATAAGACTGTATATCAATTGATTAGATAGACAGATTGTTTAATGAAAATGAAAACTAATTTAATAACATTGGTAACAGATAGATGAGTATAAGTAATATTGTTTGTGTTAAAGGTCCAATCTGGATCAATCCATTATTTATTTATCTGTATTGCTAGATATAGATATCTATCTTATTAGATTAGATATCTGAATGGATTTAACTGAATTATTCAATATATTAAATTGGATATCTAAATGGATTATTTGATCAGATATTCAAATAGATTATCCAATATATTAGATCAGATATTCTAGTGTTCTAATATAGTTAGACCTCACTAGGTCACCTGCAGGTTAGTGGATAACCCAGTATAAATTTATAGCCACCAGGTTTGAATTTTTAAAATGAGTTGAAACACTAAAATATCCAAACAGATTATCTGATATATTAGAAATAGATTATCCAAATTAGATAAATTATCCAATATATAGATAGGCAAAGTAATTTTGCAAATAATAATAATCTATACTTATCCTTTACTTAATATTAAATAATATTAAATATTATTACATTCTATTACTTATTATGTATACATATAAACACATAATAACAGTCAGAGGTGAATGATCAAAATTGAGTTTGAATGAAAAATTGCTGCTATAAAACAAATTATTATAAAATTACTTATTATTTTACATAATATTAAGTAATATTAGTTAATAATATGTTTCTAATCCAATATATTAGATCAGATATTCAAACAATAAATATATAGAAACCATAATTATAATATTCTTTATGCTATCTAACAACAAAAAAAAAGAAAAAAGATTTAAGAACTGATCAAAGATAATAATTATAAGCAAAAATGAACTTAAACCACTTAATTGAAGTATACAGAATAGCAGGAATCAAAAGAATAAATTACCAAAGAATGATCTTTTTTTGTAAAAAAACAAACAATCAAAAACTTCAAGACCTTCAACAGGTGTTCCAAAAACTAAACATCTATTTTTTTTAATATTAATATTCTCAAGTATAACGTTTTTCAAAATGATTTTAGGTTCTAATTCATTGTAGCTCTCAATACTTATAGACCGGTATAAGTATCATTAAAGTGGAGTAAGTAGATTCAATATATCCAATGGTTCGTTAGGTTCTAATTTATATTGTAGCTTTAGCTTGAAATATAGCGAAGTAATGGTTTATAATGAACTTGTCATCTTTTTGACAAAGGGAAAATATTTATTTAATTTTTGCAAAAATTAATATAAAACGTAATTTCTTTAGCGTTATAGTTCGATTATACTATAATTCCGATCTAATTATCCGAACCCAACCTGTACACATTTTCTAGGTACAATTTTTATTAAGAGGAATAATTTATACACCCAGTATGCTTGAGATTTATAATTTTATAAAAAGTACATATCACTCGAATAATACTATTTAACATCACAAAATTTATGTCTAGTAATCGAGCTTAAAGTTGTTTACATGTTAACTCTTACTATAATTGTAGATAGCTTCTGCTTCAATTGTCAAAAACTTTGAATGAATTACATTAATGATAGAAACGTTTATTTTTTGATACAATACATGTCTCTATATTCCTTCATATTTGACAAATGTTCATCGTACCCGCCCTGTTCCTTAAGATACTCAATGATCAATTCCAAATTAACGATAGACATCACAGGAATACCATAATCTTGTTCAATTTGTTGAACAGCTGAAACTTCACTCGTACCTCGTTCTTGTCTATCCACAGCCACAATAATACCAACTGGAGTTGCATCATTCTCTTTAATGATTGCCAAACATTCTCTAATCGCTGTTCCTGCCGTAATAACATCATCAAGTATTAAAATATTTCCTTTTAATGGAGCTCCAACAATATTTCCACCTTCTCCATGATCCTTAATCTCTTTTCTATTAAACGAATAAGGAACATCCTTGTTGTATTGTTCAGATAAAGCGATAACTGTTGAAGAAGCTAATGGAATACCTTTATAAGCAGGACCAAAAACTACATCAAAATCTAATTTTTTTTCATCTTGTAAAGTTGCTGCGTAGAATTTACCGATAGCGGATAATGTACTACCTTTGTTGAATTTACCAACATTAAAAAAGTATGGACTTTTTCGACCAGATTTTAGTGTGAAAGATCCGAAACTTAAAATTTCTTGTGAAATGGCGAATTCTAGAAAATTTCGTTGATATGATTTAAGGGACATTTCGAAAAAAAAAAGTCTTAAGTCATAAAACAAAAATGTTGAAAATTTTTAATTCTTTAATTAAAGATCCTCAATGTACATGTATCACGGGAAAATAATTAAGACTTTATTAGCGTTAGTATGATTTATGATATTTACTACGTATAAAAGCAGATTTCTCAAAGATTATTTTCTAATACAGTAATTGTAATAACTGATATAGAAATCAAAGCTTAAGAGAAAATCTTAAGATGTAACGAATAATACATCAAAGGTCAGGTGTCACGAATATAGATTACGATTACAGTACCCAGTCAATAGACGTATTTCGTAAGCATTTCCACGTGATAGTGAAGCCACCGAAATTAGTATCGGTATCGGTATTGGTTCTTTTGAATCAAAACACGTTGTTCATATTTGCAGGATTAATAAAAAATGATTCAATCATTAGATAGTAGTACTATTAGGCGTATTTCCAGTGGACAAGTTATAACCAGAGTTGAGGACGTGGTAAAAGAGCTTATCGAGTAAATAACTAGCAGAAATTTATTCTTTATGACCTCTTGAATTTGCTAAATGAGAGTGTAATTGGAATTTGTATTTAAAAAAACAAGGAATTCTATTGACGCACAAGCAACTTCAATAGAAGTGAGGCTGGTTGGAGACGGACTTACTTCCATTGTGGTATGTTTTTTAGAACCAAACGTAGATATCATTTTTAATAGTTTTATTAATGATTTATAAACGCGTTCTTTTGATTATAAAAGGTCAAAGACAATGGATTGGGGATTCCAGAAAGTGATAGACCAGCGATGGCATTGAGGTATCATACTTCAAAATTAGAGGATTTTGGTGGATTGAATAAAGTAGAAACATATGGATTCAGAGGTAAACCTAATTTAAATGCATAATTAATTATGTTCATATTACCCGTATTTAATTTACGCGTATTTCAGGCGAAGCCCTCAATTCAATTTGTGCTATATCTGAGTCTACACAAATAACTACAAAAACCTCTAAAGATCCAGTAGCTATAAATTATTCGCTTGATCGAACGGGGAAAATTGTAGAGTAAATATTAAGTTTATATTACGTTCACATTTAACCGCACTAATATTAAGTATTGACAAATTTTTATAGTTCAAAACCAGTTGGAATTACTGAAGGAACAACTGTTGTCGTTATGATGCTGTTTTCTCACGTGCCAGTTCGTAGACAAGTATGACTTTACCTACTATTTATTCATTCCTATTTGTCCTTTATGAATCGTGATATTGATGACGTCAATATTATAGACTGCTCAAAAGAATTCACCAAAAGTTGGGAAAGCGGTACAAAACCTTTTAACAACTTATGCCCTTGCACACCCAAATATTCGCTTTTTTCTCAAATTAATATATGACAATGCTGCAAAGTTAAATTTTAAATCTGGTGAATGGATTCTTCCATCAATGAAAAGTCAGATGCAATTGTTGAATGAACTTTATGGTGTTGAATTCACAAACAACGTTGAATTTTTTGTCTGGGATACAGATAAAGAGACTTCTTCTTTAGAAATAGAAAATGAGAATTATGACATATTAGATGGACCAAATGATACAAAAAGTAAAATTGTAATTGAAGCCATATTACCAAAGCCAGATGCGAGTAGGTGAATTAATTTTTTAGTTTATATATTTAACTGAACTGTTGTAATCTTATCATCGTTTATGTTTTCATAGAACCACCCGTTATTTTTAAGAATAGTCAAAGTTTCATTTATGTTAATAATCGTCCAGTGATTGCAACCAGAGGAGAAATAAAAAATATTGTATCCATGATAAAATCAACCTACACAGAAATTGCGTGTAAACATGGTTGGACTGGTAAGAGTAAAAAGTTCATCTACCAGTTTATTTTGTTATTTGATACCTGTCGTTTATTCTTTTACCTTTCTGAATTTTTTATAGCAAATAAAAAGACTCCATTTATGTGGATAAATATTAGGTTACCAACTTATGATTATGATAGTAAGCTAGCATTGTTTAAGATACATTAATATATATATATATATTTTGCTTTCAATTTAAAATAGTTAATCACTTATGCATAATTTTTTAATCCACTTTATAATAAATATTTTACTCAAGTTAATGTTGAGCCAAGCAAAAATGTCGCATTTTTTCATAAAGGTGAACGAATCTTAAGTGCAGTCGAAAATTTGTTGACTAATGTTTATGGTAGCTGCCGAACTGTCTCATTAGAAAAAGAGTATAGGTACATTATCATTCTATTTCATGACAATTAATTTAAATGTTAACAATTGTGCAATGTCTCCTTATAGTGTTGGAAAAGTTCCAAATACTGGTCTTGCAGATTCATCATCTACCAATCTTAATTTGTCACCAATTTCTTCGGAATTACTCTACTTATCGTCTAACGAACCACCATTAGCTGACGATATAGTAGATGATTCGCCATCCGTTTATCAACGATCACCAGCGCAAAACGATCCCGAATTAATTCTCTTAGATGCAGATGATCCAAATGAGCCGTTATCTAAAAACCAGGTTGTTTCTGATAAACGAAAGGGAAAGATAACAGATCATGGGTCAACTACATCACAAATGTCAGACCAGGTCACGAAGAAAGCGAATAAAGAAAAAAGAAATGATGGTAAAGCATCTCGATCACTTGAAGAATGGTACAAGACTGCGCAAACATCAGATGTTCCAACTACGCTTTCCATCGTTAGTACGTCGAGTACTCCGCCATGTACTAATAAAGACCGTAGAGGTTCGAAAAGTATGACAAATCATCCACAAAATGACTCAACAATATTGTCATATGATTCTATAAACGTTGCATATGAAGAAAGTGATAATGACAGAGAACACGGTTTTCCAAGTAATAAAAGTAACGAAAATTCTAATCAAAGAAAGCAAAAAAAGAATTATCCTTTAGGTCATACGGACTCTATGGATAGTTCAAGTAGTAGAAGGAATAGCATTGATTCCAATTCTAATGATGATGGGCCCGCACGTAAACGTTCAGCATTGGATGATACGGAAAATATTATACGTAACATGGAAGGACAAATCGATAATGAAAATTCAGACGATACTTATCATGAAAACGAAGGTTATACACGTAAGCGTACAAGGACTGATGAGACTGAAGATGTACCCCATTCTCAAGGGACATCTAATGATAGTTGCATTACATCGGGAGACACCAGAAAAGCATCCGATCCGTTATACATGAATGAAACTCAAACAGAAACTCACATGGAATTTGAAAATGGCCTTGAACCAAATTCGGCAGATATCATGAATGCTTATGAGCCAACACCACCCGAGTCTATTGATGAGATAAACATTCCAGAGCGAATAACGCTTGAGTCTGAAGCCGGCGTTAATGTTTCTGAACAATCGAGACGCGAACCAGCGGGATCAAGAGCATCACCAAAAAAGCAATCTACATTGCCAAAGCAAGGATCAGGTGTTAGAACTATCGTAATTGGGCAACCTACTGTTGATGTTCTTAGATCAGATGACGCGAGTAATGTGTCTACAAATGACGACGTTAATAGATGTCAAGAAACATCCAAGCGTAAAGCGACCCAAGATGCTCGTAAAGCATTAGGACTTACTGATACATTAAATCATGAATTGAGATTGGCATTTGTCAAGCAAAGTATTTGTCGCAAGAAAAATTCTTTAGAGTCTTCTGTTAAGTTTACAGACGGTTTGTCTTCAATAACTTGTCTAAATAAAATGGATTGCGGTCTATGGACTCTGTCAAGAAAATTAAATGATAACATTGTAAATCTATTGATCGTACACGGGGAAAGGTTAGTTTATTTGATTTATGAGTAGTACGAAATTCATGTAAATTCGTAAAAATTTTTTTTCAAAAAACTGCAGGATACGTGAATTGGTTACTTTACAAACATTGGTAACTTCAACGGAGCTACTCCCAACGAGAAAATTAACAACACCTATCGATATGGAATTAGAGTAAATTAATTTAATGACTTTATTCAAAAGTTAAAGATGATGTATTCTATCTTATTCCTGATCTCTATGTATTTTAGGCTTCTTGGATCCGATCGCATAATATCGTACTTAAAATCACTTTCATATGACCAAATACCGGATGAAAATGGTGCCGGTGTTTGGTGGAACATGATCAATCAAAAATGTGTTACTGCCAATGGAGTGAAAATACGGTGGAGAGAAGATTGTAAGTTGAGCTTTGTAAATTTAAATTATTTACTTGAAATATTTATAAATTAATATTTTTTATTTTTTATTTTTTTTTTTATAGGTGAAAATACTTATGTACAGATCACCCATATATCCCCACTTATATTATTTGCATCAGCTGTAGATTATTTTTCAAACTTGATGCAACATCTCGCTACCAATAGTAGTGAATCAAAAGATGTTTCACTAGCATCTACGAGATCAGGGCAGACCATGAAGATCCTTGCGGGCGAAGCGAAACAATTAGTTAAGCAAGAAGATGCAAAGATTGCGAAACGGGATGATGAAATGCGAAGTCGGATCGAAGAATCTACTATATTCTTATTACGAAAAATGCCAAACTTTGGAAATGGGATATCATATATCGATTATAATGATCATGAACCGCCCCTTGTGATGGTTGAAAGAAAGAGTGATGATGAAGTTTGGTATAATGATCAAATGGTTGTTAAGCTATTGTGGCGGTATAATGCAGAATCGGATGAAATAACTCGTGAGATATAGCCATAGATTATTAGATAATAAATGATAGATTAACATTTTACAGATGATCCATTAGATAGCCTATATAATTACGTAGACTATTTTGGAATTTCATCAAATAATGGGACTTTTTTACTGTATATTCCTTTTACTAATTTCGAAGACATCTTTAATTAAAATTGGCTATAACACATTTCTCTTTGACTAAACTTTAATATGATGAACATATAGTAAAACTACTGTATATCATATACTGTTATATATTTTATATAACGATTCTAAATTATTTATACGTAGTACATGATTTAATTGTTAACCAAGTTCCTAATATCGATATGCTTATAGATGAATAGGGTTGGTGTAGTAGGATATAATATCGATATATTATATATAGTAAATGTTTATATAATGACCATAAAATGTATTATACAAATTAATTAATTAGAAGTCATAATAAACTTTAGGAAATTTTATAGTTTCGCACATTCATGTAATTCCATTTAATATTGGAATAATTCGAGTTATTTTGGCGATAATTGCATCATCAAATAACTTTATTCTTTGTTAACGTTAATGACGCAATCTCACCAAAAGAACTTGATTCGGTCGTCATAAGCCACCCGATAAATCCGTTATTGGATGCTATGTACGCAGCCAGATAAAATGAATCGTTTTGCAAATAATTCTGTTATTGCCGGGTTCAAAAAAATAAAAAAAAATAAAAAAAATAATTCTGTTATTGGCTGCTTCGCATCTAATAACTATATAGTATCGGACACAACTAGTTTGATAAAAATATTATTGAAAGCCCGATGCAAGACAACGACACTCATGTATGTCATTCAGAGCACAAAATCTATTGTAAAATTTCGGAGATTTCCGTTTCGTCATGACAATTTCCGCCTTGACTTTTCATCAGTCGGAAATTTTCCGAATATGATATCATATATACGTATGTATATAAATATCAATAAATATTACAATATCTTTATTAAAAAACTGCTACATCCGACTGAGTTTTCTAAGTTCCGGTTAAAATAAACACCGCCGGAGAAAAAACATCTTCCGGCATTCGGAAATTTTGTGCCCTGATGTCATTTAAATTAAAATTTAAAACTGCATTATGAAACTTTATATACACGTCACTCTCGATATAACGGACTCTTAATATAACGGAGACTAAGTAAAATTTGATATAATGGATCAAGATTCAGATCCACATCATATAATAAATACTACCTGACATGATGGATTTACTAATAAAACTCACAATAAAGTGGGTTTTAAGAAATTCCTCACTATGTACCCGAGGTACTACGTTATATAGAGAGTGACGTGTATAATATAGACAGTGGACATAATCGAAAATAAAGTCAAATTTTAAAATCTTTCAGCATTATACCACATTAGACTACATTGTTTCTTAATAACAAATTAGGAGTAATAAAGGCTATTTACTTAAAAAGTGCAAAAACGTAGAAATATAAAGCAATATACTTGCTTGACAAAACTTATAGAATTTTGATATTTGACCATGGACAGACCAGTAGAGACCGTTAATGTCACACATATTAAAACTGGTGAGGGATTACGTATATCCATCACAATTGAATCCAACATAAATAGTTTAATTTTTGATTGATCACAGGACACTGTCTCTCTGTTCAGACGAATAGGATTATTAAAAATCCCATGTAAAAAAAACTGGACAAATTCATTTTTCTGACAATTATTTATTCTAACCAACTCAATTTTAGTTTATTTCGAAGGAATGATTGTTGCTGAGATGTCTCGTCTAGATCTTATTCGTATTCGTTATTCAATATACTTATTCGACGAATATTAGAATAATGTGAATAAGCAAATTTATTTGAATAATTTTTATTGTCCGATAGCTTACTAAACATATAACTGTCGTTCAGCGAATATTCGAATAAACACTTGCTGATTTAAATTATCCGGACATTAAACTCTAGTTTTGTCTAAGGAAAGGAACGACCCTAGCGTCGCCCTCAAAAAATGGTAGCCGGACAGATCTGCCGGGTACATGTTATTATGTGATTCGGATT